TTGGCACCTGCAGTCCTGAGTTCACCATGCCATGGAGCAGAGAAAGTGCTAACGGATGAGTGCAGCATCTGGGACTCCACCCCAGGCAGCAGATGAGCTGAGGCAGGTAGCAGGGACAGGCATGTTTGTGGGGAAGAGAGACAGATGACTCATGGGAGAACCATTCCTGTTGTTACCGTTGCACACTGCATGTCAGCTACTTGCACATGGAATCAAGCACAGAGGGCAAATGACACCCCATGTTTGCCTGCAACATGTTTGTGACTTAAATGGGAAGACAGACCATAGGATTGAATGTGCACTAAAAATCCTGGTTATGAGCCACACAACACCTCATGAATAGGAACGTTGATGGGAGGCAGGGGCTGAAGTCTCCATTCTGTCTTTTCCAGTTACAAGCTATTGGATTTTCATTGCCAAAGACTTCACCTTGCTATGTCCAGACTCTTATTTTGTCCAGTGAGAGCTAAAGTAGCACTGTAATGAAATTAATTAGAAATTTATTTTTTCTTCACTTGTTCCAGATTCAAAGAGTTATTTGAGAGCAATATAATTGTGAAAGCCAAGTTTACCTTTCTGGGACCCCTGTGTCAAGTTGGGCAGAAATTCCATCTGGCCTATTCTATATTCCACACTTGGAATTTCTGCTTTTTCTCTGATCAACGTTCACACAGAGTGGATCCTTCTATTGCAGAATGCAAACATCAGCCCCAAATAGTTTAAAATTGTCTCATATAAGTGAGAATATTGCAATAGAAGTATGATCCTACGGTCCTCTCCCAGAATCCCCAGGCTCCAAGGATGGATTATTTATACATTGTGTGGCCTGAGACAGATTCCCAGGTATCATTCCTGACATCCTTATCTCCCTTACCAATCCACCATGCATCACCTTTTTAAATTTCACTGCTTAAATATTACCATGTTACTTCGTCTCCCTACTGCAAGAAAGCATTACACTGTTACATTCACCTCATTCCTGAAGTCTCTGAATCAGTGACTGTGTCCACTGTATGATCTATTCTCCTACAGCAAAGAGCAGCATTCTTTTCATATGCAAGTCTGAGAATTCATCATCTTTCCAGTTCTAATGATTTCATAAACTTTCAAATCAAACCATACTCACATGGTCCTATTTTTTTGGATTATGTATCTTCTCAATTCAAGTGTATTGAATGCTTACTCACACCCTAGACTCCAATCACAGTGTTTTTTCTCCAGCTTTTAGCAAACCTTTCCCTATTTAGGGCAATTTCCTCCTCTATTTTGCTCATTCCTATATTAGTATTTGTGATTAGGTCAAGTGTTTTTAAAAAGCTTTTACTGATTTCCCCTGCCGTATGAATCTTCCCTACATAAGTGTGCCACTTTTTATTTATGTGCTTACCTGCATAACACAAAAATAAAAGGAAGTGTTTGGCTAACCTTTCCTTTGTTGGACACACGAATGAATGAGTTAAATGGCTTCTCTTTGGAAGTTAATATGCCTTTGATCATGAAAGATAAATAAGAATTTGCTGGATGGAGAAGAGATGTGAAAGTACTCACAGTGTTAAAATACTAGATTCCTAAGTCTCATATTTGTGAGGGAAGGTTTGTCTGGTACAAGCATAGGATGGCCAGTGTGAAAATGAACATGGATGATGGATGAAGAGGGAAGAAAAATGGCAAATGAGATTGGTAAGGGTTGAACAGATATCATGTGCTCACCTGCAAAATACAGGTAGCAGATAACATGATCAGCAGAGTGCCTTCAATTTTAACTCAATGTTTTTTTCTCTGGGGAAATAGACTAGGGAATTTGGATGGCTCAGTTGTTTATCTCTGTTTGGGATGCCTGGACCACATATCACACTGTCCAAGTGATATCACACAAATTCAAGCTGGACTTTTTGGTCCAGCTTCCTACCATTACAGACCCGTGAGAGCAACAGGTGATGACCAAGTGCTGGGGTTCCTACCACCCCCATGGGAGATATGGATTGAGTTCTGATGTGCCTACCCTCAGACTGACCCAGCCCTGGCTGTTGCAGGCATCTGGGGCGTGAACCAATAGGTGGGTAAGCTATTTCCATTTCTCTCATTCTCTCTTTTCGCTACGTGCACACACCTCTCCTTTTCAAATGATGGTTCTTTTATACTCTAAAATATTGTACATATCAAAGTGTTTATGAGTGATATGTCTATGCATGGCTAACAAGTTAGAACTTAAAATTTTACTTTAAATTTTATTAAAAAATAAGAATAAAATAAACATATCAACCCACATCGTGCTTCACAAAATAATTATACTTTCTGAAAAAAGGAGAAGTACCTATTAGAGGACAGCTGTAGCCTCCTACCAGTTTATATATTTAATCTTTTCTGATATGTTGCCTTGACTAAAATATTTTCATAGGATCCTGATTCATAAATGTGTGTAGCAAGAAAATGGAAGAATATTTTAATGCTTTTTTCCTATAACTGTGACACTGGATAATAAGTAAATACAGTTGCTTGAATACATTACTATATGGAATATGAGGCCGTATTAATGAGCTTTTCCTTCTCTATTACAATAAAATCCATTGATATCTTAGCACTGCAAAGTGAGGTTTTACCATTGCTATATCATGTAACTTCCAACCCTGGCCATTTTTATGCATTCACTGAGTGAATTGAAATTTTGGCAGATCTCATTATCAATGAATCATTTTGATTAATACCACCAGCAACCTTATCAAAAATATTTTAAATACTGGAAAGTTTTCAATCTTCTCATGATATATATGTGTAAAAATGTAATCTTACTTACAAGTTTAAATTATATCATTAGCAATAAATTCTGTTTAGTTGTTTTCATAGTGAAAAAACATTTTGTTAATTTTAAGAAAATGTTTACCAGATACCTAAGTCTGAAAAGCTATAACTTGTTATTCCTTGAATAAAATACAGTGTTCTATTTCTAAAATGTCTAATTTTGGTTTGGAACTCCAATAAATGCATATGTATTGGTTTTCACCAATCTTCATTATGCAATGAACATACTTAATGTGTTATTTCCCATTTTGTCACTCAAAAAATTAAAAATATACTCAAATATCAAAATTTAGAAAAAGTAATTGTTTTAAAGCAGCATGATTTTTTTTCACTCCCAGCATGTAAGTAAAGAATACAATGACTTCTAATGGTTTGGTTTCATTGTCTTGATTTCTGCCCATGTGCCAGCAGTTTTCTCCACTACTTGATGAACTCAGAGGCAAAGATAAAATAGGCAAATAATACATATTATTATTAAAAAAGTTTGTACCCCTTAATCATCCAGAATGATCTTGGGACTTCTAGGTGTATAGCTGGGTGCTGGGGGGGAGGGGTGGAGCTTTGGACAATCTTTAAGAACCATGGATTTAAAAATTTTAAAATGGAGGGTTGGCATTGTGGCGTAACAGTTTAAGCTGTCACTTGCAATGTTGGTATCATATATAGGCAATGGTTTAAGTCCTGGGTACTCTACTTCTGATTCAACTTCCTGTTAACATACCTGAGAAATCAGCAGAAGATGGCCTATATGCTTGGGCTGCTACACACACACACACACACACACACACACACACACACACAACTCAGAAGAAACTCCCAACTTGGCTCTTTCTTTGACCTGGTCTGGTCCTTGATGCTAGTTGTTGTGGCCATTTGGGGAGTAAATCAGAGGATGGAAGCATTCTCTCTCTCTCTCTTTCTCTAACTCTGCCTTTCAAATAATAAATAAATATTTTTTAAAATAAGTTAGAAAATAGACGAATGAGGCCCAGTTTACAACCTAGTTTAAAATCATAACTTTAACCTTATTTCAGTCCTCTTTTACATGCTTTACATGCTTTCATTATTTCAGGAACAATATAGTCATTGGTAAAGGAAATTGTGATAAGTCAAATTAGGAGTAAAAAGGGATTTAAGTTACTCATCAGCTTGGGTCTTGCAAAGACTGCCTGAACTACCAGTAAGAAAAAAAGTTCATTAACTCTAAGTCTAAAATTGTTATTACCACAAAGTCCATTTTGTGACCGTCTCAGCAGCCAAGACCAGTCAATGACAATGAATGAGCAATTTAGATATTGCACCAAGTGTCATTTTGATAAACAACTTTTTGGAAGACAAGACCTAAACAGGAAAGTGAGGGAGTGATACAATTTTTCCCCTCATTCATGGCAGAAGTCATACTTCAAACAGTAACCCTACTGTCAAGATGATTTCTTCTGTAGTTATTCACTCCCTAACACATGCTTACTCTGACGAAGCAGGGAAGTCCCCAAGTTTTCCACAACTGCTTTATCAAACTGACATGTGAAGAACTCGAGCTTAAACTGCCCTGCCCATGCTCAAAGCTATACCAAAAAGTCAGCTGATTCAACTTGGGCATTTTTGAACTTGCCAACAAGCAGAAGCTGACGTGGGCATGTCCACGGCCATTTGAGCACAGATCTGACAACTGGGCTATGAAAGGCTATGTTGCTTATCCATGTAGGAACAGATTCTCCAGATTCCCACACTAGGTGGGTTCCTCTGAGTTAGTTTCATTGTGTGAGTATAACAAAATTATCTTATCGTCTATAGTTGTAAAGAAAGGAAAGGAAGAAGTATTTTTTCTATTTCCTTGAGATAAGGGCATAAGTGGGAAAGTATGTGTTCAGTCCTGGTTTAAGGAGAGGAGCACCCACTGTCCATTATTGACTCCTTTTCTAAAATCACCTTATTTGTTCTTATGTTTGAAGTTGTAGATGTGCAGGCAGATGGTTAAACTTGGGCGTTTTCCTTTATCTAGTATTTCTCAGAGTAACTACAAGCATCTGGCTTGTTTACCATGGGAGATATGTCCCTGAAAATCAAACTATTTGTTCAGAACAACACCATCTGAGTTAGTGTGATCCTTGTAAAACAACACATTTAATCATAAAATCCCAATCTTCAAAACGAGGTCCACTCATCACCCTGGCACAGGCTTCCATAAACAAGCCCTTTACCTCAGTAGCTGTGTGTCCCTCCACTTTCACAGAAGCTGTAGGTTCCAGATACAGGTTGGCAGATATCTTCCTGAAACAGTTGCCTGATGTAGAGTGCCAGGTTCTGAAAGAGAAGGGAAGCAGGTGAACTGGCATCAGAAGACAGACCATAGATATAAAATATCATTTTGGACTTATTCTTTCAGAGCACATCCTCCCACTCCCAGGAGCTCTTCATTTCCAAAATTAGAAGATCTCTCTTTACCTGCCCTCATGCCTTCTCCCAGCCCCCATCTAATGGATACATTTCACTAGCCATTATATGCCTTCTCACATTACGAAAAAATAATGTTGGTCACTTCATTGCTAGATATGTAGAATAACATCTCTGGGCACTATTAGGCACCTAAAATAGGTATTCCTCAATTGTCTCCATAACACAAGCAAAAAGAGCTGTGAGTTGGGTTGGGGCGACAGCCCACAAAGAGGAAAATAAGATGGGCATACTCAGGTCAAATGTTTCTCTACCCTCCTGCTAGATATTAGAACTCATGATACTAAGAGGAAGGTGGTAAGGCTTCAGTTATGGGCTGGCTGTTTATGTATTTCTTGGTAACAACACAGGACGAGTTTGCTCCCTCCCTGAGGCATAAATGTCTGAGACTTGGTCCCAGCACTTGAATGTTCTCTTAGAGCATACTGATGCCTGAGGTTATGCAAAGCTAGTTGCTTCCAGATAGCATCCAGGAAGGTACATGTCTGTGATAAAGCAGAGAAGACACCAAATTCTCATGAGTTCTAAATACTACTTCCAAATAAACAAGATAGAAGGATTAGCATCACTTAAGCCAGAAGCACACAGATATTTCAAATATGAACTTCACAGTCATAGCATCGTGTCAGGCCGGAGGATAAAAGCAATTCAGTGAAATTTCTCTGAAGCAGAATTTTTGATAAAACCAAGAAGGCCTCTAAGAGAAACAGAGAGTCGACAAAATCCTTTTGTAAATACAAGATTTATCATTTCTTTCATACTACTTCCTACTTATTTCTGCTGTGAGATATTCTCCTTAGTCCTAAGTGAACTGGTTGCCTCATTTTTAATGACTCAATACAGAGATCTTAAATACTTAACCTCAGTCTATTCTAAATGTAAAACAGCTGGTTTCTTTTTCCTCCAGAAATTAGATTTCTTTAAAAATAATTCTGAATGCATTTTTTGACACATTCCAATGATCAGCCTCAAGATTCTGGTTATAATATATAACCACAGAGAAAAAAAAAACACTGCATGAAAGCAGGATCATTTATTTAATTCCCAAATTCTTTATTTCCCATAGAGTGAGTCTCACATCTGGAAAAACTCACACAATTAAGCAGTTTGTCCAAGAAAAAAGACTATCTGATGGAATTCCAAATAGACACTGCTTTTTTGCATTGCTATTTGTATCTAAAGGAGAGCTTTTGCACAGATTTATGTGAAGGGGGAATGAGCATTCTGCATTACAATCACCCAGAAGATGCAGGAATACCTCCACTGTCATTGAGATCAGCCCCTGCCTCATGGTGGGATGGCTCCAAAGCCATACCAGTGGGTATACTGATAGATATCTGGGGAAGAAGCTCTAACTGCCACAGATCAGATCTTATAACTTTTTCACCCCAATTTACAATGGTTTTCTTTGATCACCTAGAGCCCTCCTATTGAGCAATTTTTTTTTCCCTGCCAATAGGGCTTCTAAACAAAGTCACAGATCCAGCATGTTTTTACTGCTTTCCAAATTCCTTCCGATGCACACTGGTCATTGCAGGGGACACCCATCTTATCACTCTGTGGGGAAACTGTAACTGAAGAGGCAGTCATTTAGAAGGGACAACGTAAAGACCTTAGAATGTTTCCTTTCCCCTTGAATGCAAAGCATTCCACGACAACGTCATGCCACAAAATGAGCCAACCTGCTACAAGAGCTGATTACGAGACGATGATTCCATTTGGCATCTTCCTCCCAGCCCTTATAAGAGATCAGAGTCATGGTCTGGCGGAAGGGAGAGGTTGTAGCTGTGGTTGTAACTGCAATGGTGTATGACAGGGAGTTCCAACCTTGCCTTTCAGGTTTGTGCTGAACTCCCCATCTACTTTCCCACCCCCACTCTACCCTTGTTATTAACCACCATATCGCAGCTTATCCCCTTGCTTAGCATTTTGCACAGCAGGCAATCAACCTTGGAAAATTGATTTGTGGTTTTATCTTGATGCTCAAATATTGCATCAATGAAGGCAAGAGGTTTAATCATCTTTATACTTCTGTCATAGGACAACCTACAAGATATTCAGTGTATATACAAAGAAAGAAAAACAAATATGTAAATTAACATTCTCAGAACTAGCTGTACTTGATGGTGTTGTTTTGAAATACTGTGTGTCCTATTTACCCAGGAGTTCTAGGATTCGTATACGTTTGTCTTGTTTTCCATCAGTGGCTGGATTCGGACAGTTCTCCCTCTGGTTTCCCCATGTGAGTGTGTGCCTAGTCAGCCAACACCTACAGTTCACTTTCTTACTTTTTTTGGTGCTTTACTTTGAGTGCATCCACAGATTCAAGTTTCTGTTTGCAAAGCCAGGCCACAAAAATTAAGTTAATTGAGACATGATGGTCAAAGAATTTCCCTTGAGGGGATGAATTTTTAAGCTTCTACAGTCTCCTGGGATGATTGGTCCATCCTTCCAAAACAATTCTTTCCCCACCCTTTGTACAAAAGTGAAGGAAAAATGATCTGCTATGGAAGAGACAAAAGACTGTAAAGCTGTTTGATTATTTTATAAAGTGGGAGATGAACTAAAATCTGCTCTCTGCCCTTCTCTTGTTTTATAAGGAACAACCAAAGCTGATATCAAAAGCTCATTCTGTAAGACACCAAACTGAAACTTTGACTAAATAAGTTCTGCTGTACCTTATTATTAGAAAGGCATATAACAAAAGCGCATGTGCACACACACACACACACACACACACACACACACACACACAGAAATTTTAATATAAATTTTAGGTATTGATTTATGCAGTACTTCTAAATTTTCATCATTTGTGAATTTAAAAAAAAAGTGTGTGGTATTGTGAGAAAGTATATAAACAGGCCTAGAAAATTTTCTGTGAAAAAATAATCCCAGTATCACTTGGTCATGACCTTGGAAAAAAACAATTTACCTCTGAGAATCTCAAGAGTCTATTTTGTAACTGCTGTCGCCACTCCACCCCCACCATGACTATATAGAAGCCAGGAAGTAGACAAGAGACTTTACATATTAGGAAGCAGAATTATACACCAAGTACAATACAGCTTTTTAAATAAATTATTGTGGAACTTTCCAAGTTCTTAGTCAATTTAAATATCTATTTAAATATATATACCAAATATATTTCCACTTATGCCATATTTTTGTTTCCTGTACTTTATTTTGTTTTACTTTATTTATTTTGAAAGGCAGAGAGAGAGAAAGAGAGAGAGAGAGAGAGAAATCTTCCATTCCCTGGGTTTTTTTTTTCCCCCAAAAGCCCGCAACAGCCAGGACTAGGCCAGGCCAAAACCAGGAACAAGGATCTACATCTAAGTTTCTCACATGAGTGGCAGGAGCCTCAGTAGCTGGGCTACACCTGCTGCCTCTCAGGGACATCAGCAGGAATCCCAATCCAAAGCAAAGGCAGGGCTCCATTTGGGCACTATGAAATGGAATGTACATATCCCGAGTAGTAGCTCTAGCCACTATGCCATTCCATGCTTTGCAGTTTAGACTACAGCATTTCATTGTGCAAACTGAAAGTTCTTTATTCCACATTACAAATACATGCTCAGGGAATCTATGTAGTGCACAGTTTGATGTGCAGTCTTCTTCAATTCAGAAACCATGAATTCCATATAAACACACAAGCTGTTATCACAAACTGCAATTATAGTGTTCATATTGCTGTGTCTTTTTCAGCAAGTAAAATCCCAAAGATATTCTTTTATCTTAGTACATATATATTTATCTGATTGTTTTCAAATGGCTTTATAGTATTTCTCATCACCATTATCTCTCAGGAATGCATCCTAGATGAAGATTCTGACAGTAAAATTTATTACATTATTTTAAGCAGACTAATGGCGAATGGTAGAGGTATCTTTTGTTCTGAAAGAGCTTCCTTTCATTTCTTAGGATTTTATTTAAATTCTCCAGCCCCAGAAAGTATTCTATAACATCCCCATTCAAGCTGTTCTCAGGGTAGAAGAGCTCCCCTTCCATGTCTCAACTGAAATTTGCTGTCAAGATGCTCTAAGAAAGTTACAAAATAATATGATTTGTCAGTCCTGATTCCACCTGATGGCTTGGCGCTAGAGAAGTCATGGCCTTTTCTGGCACTGCATTTTCCCCTTTTGACACGTTGGTGCTGCTGAGCTACTGTGAACACACTTCATTTCTTAGTCTTATAATGTTATGAGAAGAGATCAGGGGGATTTTGCATGCTTTTGTCATGGTGTGGCCATTTTTACTCACCCCGGATTTAGAGGTACTGGACGTACAAATCTAAGGGAAGCTCAGGGGTTTGCCTTTTTCCAGTGGGCATTATTTAAGCACAGTAAAGGAGGTAAAGTCTTCTTACCAAGACAACTCTTCCCCAGAAACTCAAAGAAAGGAAGGAGTAGCTTGAGCCACAGTTAATGTAGACAGCTTTTTCTTTTTAAAGATTAATTTCTTTTTTTTTCTTTAATTTGAAAGGCAGATTTACAAGGAGAAGGAGAGAGAGAGAGAGAGATCTAACTTTTTCTGGTTCACTCTCCAAGTGACTGCAATAGCTGGAGCTGAGGCAATCCAAAGCCAGGAGCTTCTTCCTAGGCTGCCATATGGGTGCAGGGTCCCAAGGACTTGAGTCATCCTTTTCTGCTTTCCCAGTACATAAGCAGGCAGCTGGATTAGAAGTGGTGCATGTAGGACTAGAATCAGCTCTCACACGGGATGCCAGTGTGGCAGGGCAAGGATTAGCTTGCTGTGCAACTCTGCCAGTCACCTGGCAGCTCTTTAACTCCTTAGCAAATACTTCCTATCATCAAAGGCATGTTCTTTTTTAAAACGGCTGAGAGAGT